ATATGTATATGTTTTTATTTATGGTAATTATGGTTTTAATTCTTTCATTTATTTATGTTATTTATTCTTTGCTATTGCATTCCAATGCTTATATGCAATTGTAACTGAATGAATCTCAGTGTGTGTTTCACATCCGTGTGCTTACTTATAGTCTCTGGCCGTACCTGTCCACACAAACGCACACTTGTTTGTAATAAACGCCGCACACTTTATCACACAAAGCAGTGAAGGTTTATAAAATCCCACACCTGACAGCAGCTGGATCACGCCGGGCTCTGCATGGCTGAGCGTCTCAGCTGCACAGTGAACACCTCAGCTTCAGCTGCGAGTGACAGTCCCATAAGGATCCGAGTGAGATTGATGGAGGGCAGAACAATAAAACTCAGGCCCCTGGTGCCCACTGACTCACCCGCCTTCCCCCTGCAGCGCTGCAATTCCAGCGGAGTGCACTGAGACAGATGAAGGCTGCTGTAGGATTGAGTGTATAAACCAATCCCGCCGATCCGTCTTTCTCACTCACGTTTTGCTTTCAGCATGTCCCCTTCCCCCCTCACCAACCATCTCAATTTATAACCCCTCATCTGAAAACAATGCCCTGATTTATGTCTCTTAAATGGATAGAGTTGTCCCCAGCCTGTGGGTATAGTCAACAGGCTTTCGTAATTGTTTGCAGATGCCTGGGATGACGTATCGATGATGGGAATGGAGAGAATGAATTAGCATTACAGACTGGAAGCTATATTTGTGCATTTTATTAATCGACTTCATCATTGCTCTGCTGCATAGAGAACACAAATGAGGAAAGAAACACATTTGTCTTTCACTGGGTGGTTTGTATGGAGTTTTGTGGGATGTTAATGTTAAAAGTAATGTAGTACAACACTGTTTTACTTTATTTATTTGTTTATTTATTTATTTATTGTATTGTATTATTTTTATTTATTTTGGGTGGAGATCACAATACTTTCCCAGTGATTTTTTTCTCTCCGAAAAGTATAAACATATATAAGGGTAAAACATATGGATCAGTCACAGGACCATCAGTCTTCTGATTTAAACATTTCTATGGATTTTATATAGGCATAATTTCTACAAGCACTATATATTTCATATAGACTTTCTTACTGTCTTAAATTGTGCACAACCAGTTCCAGGACAGAGCAAATCCACCACTGCTCTGATCCAGTCCCCAGATTATGTTATTTTGTCCACTATTCATATTTATTTGTTCTTATCAGAATTGTTTTGCAGTTTTTAAGTAGTAAATCTGGCAGAAGGCTACAAGAAATCATTGCAGTGCTCTGTACTTTGCTGCTAAGCATGACACACACTCTCTAGAACTACAATACCCATTATACTTGCACTAACAGCTCCTACAAACCCTTTGCACCACAAGTTAGCATTGTCCTATTGTAACTCACATATTTTGGTTTAAATGTAACAAATAACACGTTTACGATCTGATTACGTAAAATCTGTAATTAGTAACATGTTACCGCCAACACTGTTTGTATGTTTGTTGTATAACCCCTGTCTCATTAATCTCTTGGTGTGTGTTGCATTCTGCATTCAGTGATCTGTCTCTTCAGCGTGACTGGTCGCATTTCTGACTGCTGTCCAACCAGGACATATGTCTCCTCACACAGCACTGATATAATTTTTATAGGCTCCTCATATCTGACAGATTCATTCATCTCACATCCTGTTGAGGTCGATCAGAAACATACGGTATCAGAATATCTAAACGTGAGAGTAACATTCAGAGCTTGTTTGTCTGTTTGTTTCTGCAGTATTCTGGGAATGCACATATTTGGCTGCAAGTTCAGCCTGAAGACAGAGGCTGGGGACACAGTACCTGACAGGAAAAACTTTGACTCCCTGCTTTGGGCCATTGTCACAGTGTTTCAGGTGTGTAGCGCTCTCAAAACTCATGTCACTTATGAAAGCACTGCTGCAGGTGACAGGAAACACAGGGCAACTGGGAACTGGGTGAAAACACTTTTTAATCACACACACACACACACCTGGTTATTCTCTGTAGAGCTGAAAGGTTTAGACTACTACACGGTAATGTTATATAAAATAGGTCACAGATTTCTTGGTATTTATTTATTATATACTGTATATATATATATATATATATACAGTGGGGAAAAAAAGTATTTAGTCATATGGTTATATACAGTATCGGCAGGCCGAGTGCCGTAGGTAATCACAGCGTGCCAATATATAACCGTATCGCACGGCTACGAGTGTGATATTGCATTTATCCAACAGTTCGACGGCATGAGTGTGTAAATACATAAGAAACAACAACGGAGTGTCTTTAAAAACCCTCTTTTGTGCAGAACTACTTCCTTCTGCCATGGATTCAAATTTCAGTTTGACAGTTTAACAGCTGAGCTCAAGCCTCCGTTATTAATTTGAAAACATCACTTTAGTATTAGTAATGAAGGAACGTTGCTTCAATAAAAGCTTATTGTATCACTGTATTAAAAGCAGTGTATTATGTAGAGTCGAGTATTATGGGAGAGAGATGGACTGAGCGAGTGTGATTACCTGCATCTGATATAGCATTCATTCTTCAGCTCAATCTCATCTTCACAATAAAACATTAGTTTGAATGTCCGCTGAGAAAAACGATATCTTTGTTGTACTGTCCTTTCATCTGTTAAGGGTGATCTCCGATGACAGCGCTGCTCAGCGCATTTGTTGGCTGCATCTTACAAGGTGTTGTTTGAAGTAAAAATAACTTGTTTACATCCCTGTTTCAGTCTCTTTTAATATAAAAGTCTTTACTGCTGACTCGTAAAAACAGTATCAAGTCAACATCAAATGGTGGAATAATGTAACTAATCACCATAATGAACAAACACACACACACACTGTTTCCCAATACTAAATGCTACTATTATTTATGTAAAATATTATTAAGTACAAAAGTACAAAGGCAGCACTCTGATATACAACACTGAAGTTACATCAAATATAACATGATGAGATCTACTCTGGAACAAATAATAGTTTAATGAGACCAAAGACTGCCTGTTAGATTTACCCAAAACAAATTATATCTCATGTTTAACCACTATAGAGACATCAGAGCCAGCAGCAAATTCCATAAGATCTGGCCGCGGTGAGGCTGCTCTCGTTCATGAGTGCTATATATATATATATAATTTATTTATTTAATTATTGGCCAATAAAAAGAGAAACAATAAATATAATATGACATTAAATATAATTATTTATTTATTTTCTTCTTCTGCTTCTTCTTCCTCCACGCTGGATGTCTATGGCAGTCCATAGAACCACTTGCGGGAAAGTTATGAAATTTGGCACACAAATAGAGGACAGTCTTAATATTAACCATAGCAAATTTGGAGTCTCTATCTCAGACTCTCTAGCACCACCAATAGGACAAATTTGCACTCATATTTCTGCTAATAACTTTTGAACCATAAGGTCTAGAAGCAAAATTTATTTTAAAAAGATTCCTGCTGAGTCTATTGCATACCAACATTTAAATTTATATAGGTCAGGACTTTTCACAATTTTGAATTATTTGAGAAATTTACTTTTTCAAATTCATCCTAGGCGATTTTTTCAGATTTTCACCAAATTTGGCTCAGATCCCTTTCAGGCAATGCTGGCAAAAAGTTATCAAAAGATTTCTGATACCTTTCTCGTTAAATGCTTTAACGAATTTGATGAAATGTGTGCATAAATGGACATGAGGCTGTATCTTTGCAACGCTTTAGCAGATTCCGAGCAAACTTGGTACTTTTTATACCAAGCATGACCTGAGGGCACATGAGTATTTTCGGTCAAAAGATATAAAAAAAGTACATTTTCGTTTATAATTTCTGAAAAGTTTAACCAAAAATCATAAGATTGATCTCATTAGATTCGGAGCAGAATAGCAAATCAAACGATACTGAATTTTCCTATGTCAGCAACTTTGAACATGGACAATTTCAAATTTTGTAGTAAAATGCTGTATTTTACAAACGCTTTAACGTATTGTTATGCATCTTATGAATTTTAGATAACCGCTTGGGGGAAATTTATGAAATTTGTAACACAGAATGAGGGCAGTCTCATCATTAACCACAGCAAATTTGGTGTCTCTAACTCAAACTCAAACTTTTGAACCATAAGATCTAAAATCAAAATAATTTGTCCTCTGATTCTCAGACATAGTTGAATGTATACCAAAATTTGAATTTATATGGGTCAAGATGGGCAAAATTTATCAAAAGCTTTTTGATATAAACGATAGAATGATCCCTAATTTTCCTATGTCAAACTTTTTGGGAGTCAGCCATTTTTAGTTTTGTAGTAAAATGCTGTATCAACAAATGTCTTTAACAGGGTTCTCCAACCTTGATCCTGGAGAGCTACCATACTACAGAGTTCAGCTTCAACCCTAATCACATACACCTGAACTAGCTTATCAAGGTGTTCAGGGCTACTTAATTACAGTGTTGAAGCAGCCATATGCTAGGGTTGGGCGATGTCTACCAAATTGGCATCGGACGATGTCTACAGTGAAACATCGTGATGGATGATGACATCGGGGGAAGGGGTTAGAAGGTGTGCCCAAAGCGTGAATCGTATGCAGAAAGGCATGGAAAACAAATTACGCGTTTTACTGAGCCACTAAAGGGACATGGTTAGCCGCTTGCTAACAGTAGACTATTACATTACAGTACATGAAAGTTCACTTACCACATACACAGAGTAAGGAGAGATGACGGATAGGACAATTGCAAATGATTTTTAGATACTGAGCACCACTGACAAATATCTAATCCTGTAAAATGTGTGGTAGGTACTGCCGCTCCGTAGTATAGAGTCGTGTGATCGCGAATCTCGAAAGTGAAAGTGAAAGTAAAATGAGTGCGTGCATTTGAAAGCGGTTTCAATGCCATGCATATTAGTAGCGGCTCCCTGATGCCCACAATTTAGTGTAATTACCCAACGATATAATTGCGAGAGAAAGTATTGAAATATTTTGTTTTTATTCTCCCATTTCGTAGGCTATTTATTCCCTTTAGGGGTTCCGTATTAGCCTACACTTAATTTCCTTTCCGAACACGGAATTGGGATGCGACGGATAGGGGGGCACGATGATCTATCTATCTGTCAGATAATTTGCTCCCATGAAAGTTTAACATAAAGTTATATTTTTTGTGTTTGTGTGCAGATTCTAACTCAAGAGGACTGGAACATGGTTTTGTATAACGGCATGGCCTCTACCTCCCCCCTGGCGGCCCTGTATTTTGTCGCGCTCATGACTTTTGGGAACTACGTTCTGTTCAATCTGCTTGTGGCTATCTTAGTCGAAGGATTTCAGGCTGAGGTAAGATACACACTGCAAGGCATTTAAGAAATTGAGTGTTTTGGTTGATGCACAAAACAATCTCCGACGTAACAGGGCCAATAACTTTCGGGTTTAGCTGCTGAATATTAATATTTCACGCTCACTGAGTTAATATGAATACATTATTGTGAAAAGCAACTGTTGGCTGTGGTTCGTTCCGTAACGGGGTCCAGTGGCGGCTAGTGGGTTTTAAAATAGAGGAGGCACACTAATTGTATTGGTCTGGGATCCCTGCCAATTATTATTATTATTATTTGCTTAACCACTTGAAATGGCTTTTTGGTTGCTTTTAGTCAGAAAATGTAAAGAAAACGACACACATACAGCAAGATAATATAATTTCACTTACCTGGCCTATCACTTGAAGCAAACAGCTATCACTTCTTAAAAGTCTGTCTTAAAAGAGAGCTGCCGGTTGTGCTATTTAATTAAGCCACGTCTGTTGTAGCCTATATCCAGTTAGGTGTGTTTTCCCTTTATTTTTTATTTGTATATATACTGTTTGAATGACAGCTTTGTAAATCTGTTGGCGATCAAATATTGAATGAATTAATTATGCATTTATGTAGCGCTTTATTGTGTATTGTTGTACACCCAAAGAGCTTTACAATCATTTGGGGGGGTCTCTCCTCAACCACCACCAGTGTGCAGCATCCACTTGGTTGATGCGACGGCAGCCACAGAACAATGGCGCCAGTGCGCTCACCGCACACAAGCTACAGGTGGAGAGGAGAGAGAGTCATAGAGCCAATCAAGTGATTGGGGATTATTAGGTGTTTTTTTTGTCTGCGACAGGGTGATGCTAACCGTTCCTGCTCTGATGACGACAGATCCTCTTGTAACTTAGAAGAAACTGAGAAAAAGGACTCACTCCAGCTGTCCGGTACTGAGCTGTGGACTAACTAAGGAAGTGTTATTAAAGCAAAGCTGTTTTTCCATGTGTTTCCGAACCTTATGTACAGTACTGTAGTTCTTTTTTTATTTTGGTTCATTCAAAGTAGAAACTCTGAGTTCGTGTTCCAAGCTCTTTTTCAGATTATCTGAACAAAAAAAAAGGTTAATAACAGTCTTTTACAATGCCAGTACACTGTGATATTGTCAGCCACATGTTAATATATACATACAGTAAGCCTTTCTGTGTTTTGACCTTTTAATTATTTTTTTTGTTCGTGAAGGTTTTGTCATTGATAGTTAGTCAGACTGTAAATTATGTGTTATGGCAACAATTTTAATTAGTTAAAGCTAGTCATTTAGTCATTTTGGTGTCAAGTTTGGGGTTTTGGGGTCATTAACATTTTTTTAAAGAAAATTCTTTTTTTAAGAAATTAATACTTTCAGCAAGGTCTTACGTTGATCAAAAGTGACAGTAAATACATTTATAATGTTGCAGAAGTTTTCTATTACAAATAAATGCTGTTCATTTTCATCAAAGAATCGTCAAAAAAAATACAAATCACAATTTCCTCAAAATTATAAGCAGCACAACTGTTTTCAAAATTGCTAATAATATGAAATGTTACTTAAGCACCAAATCAGCATATTACAATGATTTCTGATTTTTCTAAAATCAGAGTAATGGCTACTGAAAATTCAGCTTTGTCATTGCAGGAATAAATTACATTTTAAAATATATTTCAATAGAAAACATCAATTTCAAATAAAAAAATATTTTATTATTTAAAAAAAGGCCACCTTGCTGAGCAAAGAAAGCAAAAAAAAAACATTTAAAAAATCTTAATGACCCTTAATGATAGTCAGACTAGTCAGTAACCCATATGAATACACCATTGTCATGACAACACTAGTGTTAATTTTGTCAGGAATTTATAATTTAGTCTTATGGTGCATATGACTAAAGTACCTGAGTAGGTACTACATTTGAATTTGAATTTACTTCATGACCGTTAAAAAAAGTATGTTCTATATAGTATGAATATGGGCACTATGAATGAAATTTGGATGTACTACATCTGCCATGTTGTTACTGTCACATGACCTACAAGCGCCAGTTGCGTCATTTCACTGGCATTCATAAATCCTCTCCCATAACCTCATGGAATAGTAAAGTGTCCATCGAATGCACACTTCAAAATCTGGGAAGAAGAAGTAGGTCATCTGGGTACTTTTCACCTGCTGTGTTTTGAATACTATGAATTCGGACATACTACTCGCCTCACATACTGTTTTTCGCCTACTATATAGTAGGGAAGTATGTGATTTTGGACACAGCGTTAGTCTTTTAAATTAGTCTTAGTCTTAATCCTAGGTCAAATTTTTTGTTATTATCATATTTAGTCAACCTTGTCCTGTTTTTGTTTAGTCAAGTTTTAGTCAACTAAATGTCTGAGCATTTTAGTCTAGTTTTAGTCATTGAAAACTTCACTGTCACATTTTTCACATTTTCGTCCTGTTGTATAATGGTTAAACTGATTAAAAAATAATAATATCTTGGTACTTTTCACCTGCTGTGTTTTGAATACTATGAATTCGGACATACTACTCGCCTCACATACTGTTTTTCGCCTACTATATAGTAGGGAAGTATGTGATTTTGGACACAGCGTTAGTCTTTTAAATTAGTCTTAGTCTTAATCCTAGGTCAAATTTTTTGTTATTATCATATTTAGTCAACCTTGTCCTGTTTTTGTTTAGTCAAGTTTTAGTCAACTAAATGTCTGAGCATTTTAGTCTAGTTTTAGTCATTGAAAACTTCACTGTCACATTTTTCACATTTTCGTCCTGTTGTATAATGGTTAAACTGATTAAAAAATAATAATAATTCTCAAAATTATAATTGCAATGATGGTTTTCATTTGAGAAATTTATTTTTACACTTCAGGTATTTCAGGTATGGCACTTTCACCAATAAGCACAAACCAACAAAATGTGAACTCATACACATTGTATATCTGTGTATGAGTTCTAGTGTACTGATTTATTATAGGCTATATTAATTACAAAGACTTAGACATTATAAGCTACTTAATATATAAATGAATATCAAAGACTTAGATATGCACTCTGTCAACATTATGAAAACTGGTAAAAATTCCTAATAGTAATTCCAATAATTCCAAATTGCAATAATGTTTCTCTATTAAAACAACAGCGGTTGAGTAAGTGCATTAATTCAGTAAACAAAATAGTCGAGATCTTATGACAGAACACAGACAGGCTGAATGACACTTTCATTTAAGCTCAACATCTCACATGGAGATCGCTAAACTTCAGCTTACTTGTTTGTCTGCGTTGTCAGTTCATCATTGGCGCTTCTGCAATGAAAAGCGAGCAAATGCATATGGTTGCCATATTGCAAAAATTGAGCAAAACACTGGGCAGAAAATGTATCCTTTTAACAGAGAAGTTCTGATTTGGGGATTTGAACATAGTAGAGGCATGTACAGTAGTCCGCAATAATATTTTTCGACAAAAATAAAAACAGATTTTTGTATAGTTTTCTTTTTTTTATACAATTTAGTCTTGTCTTTTGTCATCAAAGATATTGCATGTTGATATAGTCACAGTTATCGTTTATTGACCTTATTGTCGTCTCGTCATCGTCTCGTTTTAGTAATGGGAAAAAAGCTTGTCAATGAACATTTTTCATCATAGTTTTCATTAATGAAATTAACAATAGACAAAATGCTACCCAAAATGCGATATCCTAAACAGTTTCAAAAATGAGTAACTGAGAGCAATGCATTGAAACGTCTCATTAATATCTGGTCCAAAAAAAATGGCGCTGTGAGATCTGAGGACATGATGCGATGAATAATGCATGTACACACTGATGCTCTCTACAGACAGAACACAAACTTTCGCACTCCCACCAGTGTTGCCTGGCATGAGAGGAGGCTTCAGAAATACCAGAAATCACGCAAGCTTGAAACTTTAATAGGCTTGGTGGAATATACTTCCTAATTCCGCACCATAAACACAAAACAAATTGTTTTTGACTTATTGTGCCTTGTGATAAGGCAGCTAGCATTTCTCATGACTAGAGTCCTTCGGATGTGTTTGTGATCTAATCAGTATTGGCATGTGGTTTTGTGCAGATCCCAAGATTTCCACTTTGACCCCTAATGGGCATCTGGATTTGGCACCTGCACCCAATGCCAGGGGCCTGTACCCATCTGAAAGGCTGAGCTTTGCCCTGAGTTCCCGTAAGAGCAGCATGAGCTCTTTGAGCAGGGCTAGCCTGGAGCAGACGACGCTGGTGAGCTATTGTGCATGCTGCAGTCAACTTGCCATTCATTACAGGGTCTTACTCAATGAGAGGGCTATATCATACCACTCCGGCAATCCAAAACCTCTCAAAAAAGTACAAAGAACACAATAATTATCCATCAGCTCTGCATGTATTAGCATTTTACGAACCATTAATAAGACACTTACTCAGCACTTAGAGAGCCGTCTCTACTCATCTAGCTTGCACTATATTAGCACTATATTAGCATACTCACAGAGGGTCATTGAGCGGGCACTCGAAGAGCTGAGAGCAACTTATAAACTACATAATTATTTTTTACAATGGTTTAAATAATTACCGCCCTTGTGAGGAGGTTGGCTTTTTATGAGAGTTCTAGACAGTGAGGGGGGAATTTGCTAAGAATGAGTTGAAAGCATGGTTTATTTGTGTGCGCGTCAGATGTTTTAGTCAGATTCACTAGGAATTATGTACTGCAAATCGGGTAACACTCAAAACTTTAGTGCATCGTGTGGGATGGTTTTGGGTTTTAGATTGTGGAGGTCGCAGCAGACTAACTCGATCAGAGAAACTATACTGAACAGCATCGTCCCACCACTGCAATCCAAACACCTGGACCTGAACCCGTGTCTTTGAAATACAGTATTCGTTCCACTAAACAGCGTTGTATCACCAGCTTCCTGTGGACAGTAGTAGCACTAAATTTATTATGCCAAGCAAATAACGATGAGTTTTGTAATTAATAGACAAATATATGATCATTTTAATAACATAATGAATTTAAAATAGTTTTTGATATATAATACAATTTAATGTATAAAATAATAATTTCAAAAAGAAAATGCAATGACTATTTTTTTATTATTAATTCATTTATTATATTCAGCAATTTTTGCAAGCTATCTTAGTGCTTTTTGCCACCACTGTAATCCAATCACCTGAACACTGAACCTGACTGAATTTATTATTTAATCTATTTATCTATACTATTTTTACATTTTTCAGAACAGTCTGCACACCTGTTGACAGGTCAACCAGATTCCAGAACTGTTTGATAACAACTTGCATTCTATATGTGTTGTAGTGTCCAGGGCGAGCCTCTATGTACCACAACTGGGGACAGCCTGCACGACCAGGAATATGGAGTCGCAGGTCAAGCTGGAACAGCTTAAGTCGATCTTCTAGATGCCTGGGAATGGGGGGCGGAGGCAGTTTAAGGGTCTGTAGCCCTCACTCTCGTCCTGTTGAGCAGGAGTCCCTGCTGTCTCCTCCGCCCCCTCCTCTGCACCCGCCTCTGCTCTCTAGACACTTCATCCCGCGCAGAGAACGGCGGGCTCTCTCTTTGGAGCTTCCTGAGCTGCTGCAGGTGCCTGGACCGGCCCTGCCTCCTCTGGAGGCACGGCAATGCAAGAAGAGCTTCTCTGGGGGTCTGGGAAGTGTTGGAGAGCACCAGGACTGTAATGGGAAGACACCATCAGTCCAACCACAAATCATCAATGAAGTCTACCCTCAGGTCAATGCACGCAAGGACAGGGAGGATCTGGACGATGAGCTGGACTATGTAAGTGTCCATTAAAAATATTTTAAAGGGATAGTTCACTTATTTTGTAATCATTATATTTCAAACTCATATGACTGACTTTCTTCTATGGAACACAAAAGTAGACATTTAGTCGAATGTCCTGGGTGCTCTTATCCATACAATGAAAGTGATGGGGACAGAGGCTGCAGAGCTGGAAAAAAAAGGCATGCACCGTAAAAGCTGTTCAAATTAGTTCATGTCATATTCCAATTCTTCTGAATCCATACAATAGCTTTGGATGAGTAACAGACCAAAATGTAAGTCTGTATTCACTGATCATCACTTCCACAATAGCTCTCAAATCTAATTTACACATTTAAACTGGCACATCACAACTGCTTATGACAACCATTGACATTTGGTGTGATTGCCATCAAACCAGGCATAATGCATCTACACACCATATTTAAATATGATATTTGAGCCATAGTTCAAAGGAAAACTGAAATGAGACTTATCAGGGACATCGGATGCAAAAATCTCTTTTACATGGTGTTTGCATATAAATTTGTCCTGGTAGTGTGTGGACACAACCACCCTGCAATGATAAAAATCCATTCACTCCTTTTTTTGAATTCCCAAAAAACCTAAACAGTCTCAGTTATCAAGCCGTTTTGATTTTCTGAGCAGTATGACATAGTACTGCTCAGGCCCCGCCCACGGCCGCTGACGGACTGTATTACTCTGTCCGTCATTTCCTGTCCGCTCTAGCAGCTGTAGCTCGTAAGCAATGTTGGATGTAAAAGTGAAAATAACACCTGTTTCACACAGCAAGCCTGAGCTTCACGTCAGCGTAACTACAGCGTCACTGCAGCTGAAGACTCATGACAGTATTCACCCTGGAAGCATTTGTACAGCGTCACAGCAGGGGCTCCAAAGCTACATATTTTTTTTACAAAGGCAACTATAAATGTGTTTTTAGAATCTGGTCAGTTATAAACTTGAAAGTTTTAAAGTCTTGAAAGTTTGTTAAAATGGGGATTCGCATGTAAATGGTAAAAAAAAAAAAAAACAGCTCTGATCATATCATTTCAGTCATACTTCGATATAAAACGTTCTGTTTATAATGTTTTATATATATATATATATACAGTGGGTACGGAAAGTATTCAGACCCCCTTAAATTTTTCATAATTATTAACGAGTTCAAATGGGTAAATTCTTCATTTTCTTTTCTGACATATTCCAGTTCTTGTTAAAACACACTAGACATACTTTTTCTGTGCATTTTTAGCACTTTTTGTGTGAAATCATATTTATTTTGTCCATTAAAAGTGGGCCATCACTTTAATTGAGCATGAGCGGCACAGCAAAAATAGACTAATTCTTTATAAATTTCTAACTGATCAACTTCTAAAAACAAATATATAACATTAGTTGTCTTTGTAAAGAAATGTGTAGCTTTGGAGCCGCTGCTGTGACACTGTACAAATACACAAAAAAACGGAAGAGAAGGGTGGAGTGAGCAGTAGCTCATTATCATTTAAAGAGACATGCACCGAAACGGGTCACTGTGAACAGAGCTGTTTTTGATAAGGTAAAAAGGGTGTTCTTTTACATGACCATTGAGGAATTTCAACCAAAGTATGTTACAGACGTTCATGAAGACCCTAAAGAATCTTACCAACTTGTGGAAAATGGGCATTCGATGTCCCCTTTAAATGCTGTGGCAGAGGAAACAATTCAGCCAGGATGCAATAAATCTGTTTTACTGTATTTTTGACCAAATAAATTAAGCCTTGGTGAGCATAAGAGACTTCTTTCAAAAACATACAAAAAGTGTTACCTGACCCCAAACTTTTAAACAGTAATGTATGGCTTCAGAAGACTTCTGCCATTTATGGAGCTCTAGGCATTGGTGTTCCATGGAAGAAAGGGATTCAAATGTTGGAACCAAATTTGTTTTGATAAAATAGATAATTGTCTTTTAAATGGTAATTTTTGTGGATTATCTTAAACTAGATTGGCCCCTGAAAATCAGCGTCTGCACACATTGTAAATGTTTTTGAAGCAGAGCCAATTGCATATATAATCAACTACACAATGAAAATTGCCCAATTATTATCTGTTGAGGAGGAACGCTAACAGATGGCAGTAGGATTTCAGTTTTTAATTTACAGCCAGATACTTTGTTTTGTAAGCAATTAAGAGTAGCATGGCAGCTCCAAGAGGACCTGAAACACTGGAAAGCTCTGTTTCATAACTGCTTCAACTATCAAACGCATTTCCAAGAAAGTTCTCCCACCCTGGATACTGCAGAATTAATCTTAGTCCTCATTTTTGCCAACAGATATTCAACTAAATACATATTTTTCTGTCGGCAGAGTCTATGTTTCCGGATGCAGAAGATGATAGAGGTGTACAGACCAGACTGGTGTGAGACCAGGGAAGACTGGTCCGTCTTCCTCTTCTCTCCCCAAAACAAGTTAGTCCTTTCACTGTCTCCTCTATGTCAGTACATAACGGTCATGAACATACTTTATAAGACCAAACAGAAGCTGTTTCATCTTTTGACCTTGTTTGCACACAATATACAGTTGTGGTCAAAATTTTACATACACTTTGCAGAATCTTTGCAGAATAATTTTACCAAAATAAGAGGGACCATACAAAATGCATGTTATTTTATTTGTTTAGTACTGACGTTTACATGTAGTCCACAGGAGAAATGTAATAATTAAATATATAAAAATGACTCTGTTCAAAAGTTTACATACGCTTGATTCTTAAGGGGAGACACTGCAGGCAAAAACACTGTTTTTTCATGCAAGTTTGAGATTTTGGTCAAGTTTGAGATTTTGGTCTTTTTGGTTTTTCATAAAGTGTTTTTTCAGACTAGTGGAAATAAAACATCCCAAAGACACTGCTAAGTGTTTCTTTTACAGCACTTCATCTATTTGTATCAATAGATTTAAATTACAATACATATTTTTAAAGGCCGTTTTCTCAAAAGGAGTTTTTTCTCCTACACTGAGCCATAAATCTCCACTTCAGTAGCACTTACATACACCAAACTTTACATTTGTATTCCTGTCTATATCCTGAAGGTTTTTACAGAGGGATTTGTTCATATATAATTTTCTTGATTATATACAACATTTTATTCCCCCCCAAAATTTGAAAATATAGTGTTTTCTGTCCATTCTAAGTGACAAAAATGACATACCCAAAATTCCCTCTATAAAAACTTTTGACTCTAATATATCAAAAATTAACCACAAATTTTTAAACTGACATCATCCAGTGTTTAGATTTTTGTACTGGAAATGTATGCAAATTAGCGCATATTTAACTAAATAATGACTAATTTGCATATTTAAACCTAACATTTTAGAAAACTTGTAATACAAAAAATGTTTGCAATTATCAATGTAATCAATCAACTGAGTAAGTCCATAACTATTAGTTATTTTGTTTTACCTTATTCACCTGCAATGTCTTGCCTTAAAGGGGTCCTATTATGCTTTTTTTACTTTTTGAATTTTAGTCAGTGTGTAGTGTGTATGTTTGGGCATAAAAAAGATCTACAAAGTTACAAATCTCAAAGTCCACTCCAAATGGAGATATTTCGTTTTTTAAAAATCCCTTTTCAAGAACTACAACGAACGGCTCGTTTTGACTACAGCTTTGTTTTCCGGGTTTTGTGATATCACAAAGCGGTCCATTAGAATATCATTAAAATAATTCCCGCCTACGGACATTTGAATGGTTGGGGGTTGGGGGGGGCGAGGTCGTGGTGCATCAGACAAGAAGACGAAGAAGAAGAAGTGCTGCTGCAGAGTTTGTGCATCAGCGAAAACGAAGAAGAAGAAGAGCTGCTGTAGCGTCAAGTTTTTCCGTGTCCATGTCCGTCCATATCCATGCATGCAAAGGTTCTGCACGATCCTCTTGTTCAATATTCTCGGGATCTGAATCTGGTTTAAATTGATACATTTAATTGATACATACATTAAATTGATGCAAACGGAACATGCTGCTTTGGCAAGGGGGGCAGTACTGAAACACTGTCTTAAAATGTTCGCCAAACACAACGCACTGGGACAGCTAACCAATCACAACACATTTAGTTTTTCGGAAGGTGGGCCTTCATCAAACCCAGAACTAATCGAGCTGTTTGTGCCAGGCTGGGGAGAAAGGTATTTTAATAATGTAAATTATGTGAAAAATAATGCGTTTTTTGAACCACTAAGCATGAGAGCATGTTCTAGTACACCCCCAAAACAAAATCAAGACTTTGTAAAAGAGCATAATAGGACCCCTTTAATACTGTTGTTACCTGGATGATCCACAGTTGTTTTATTGTGACAGTTGTTCATGAATCCCTTGTTTGTCCTGACCAGTTAAACTGTCTGCTGTTCTTCAGAAAAAATAATTTTCCAGTATTTTTTGCGTATTTGAACCCTTTCCAACAGTGACTGTATGATTTTGAGATCCATTTTTTCACACTGAGGACAACTGAGGGACTCATACGCAACTACTACAAAAAGCTCAAATGCTCCAGAAGAAAACACATGCATTAAGAGCCTGGAGATAAAAACTTTTTGAATTTGAAGATCAGTGAAAATTGTGTATGAGTCCCTCAGTTGTCCTCAGTGAAATATCTTATTCAGATCAGTATTAAATAAAAAATAGCATGCATTTTATATGATCCCTCTTATTTTGGTAAAATAATTAACATTTTGCAGATACTGCAAAGCGTATTTGTCAAATTTTGACCACAAGTGTATATATTTTTAAATGTTATATGCTAACTGTGAGTTCTCAGTTCATTTTCAATGAGAAAAAAGCAGATGAACAGCAGACGCATAGTTTTGTTTTCTTAGCTGTCATGTGTGATTGACCTATCAGGTGATTATGTCCACAGCCAATCAAATCAAAGAGCAAAACTATGATACACACTAATAATAAATAAATGCTGCAAATAAATTTTGTGAATGCTGTTTTATTTTGTTTGCTTTGATAGTTGTATTAGCTATCACTTACATGAAACAGAGAGTACAAGATTTACAGCATTAATCACCTATATAAGGTTTTTCCAAAATGGGCTTTGTGTGTTGATGAAAAGGCTTATAAATAATGAAATTATAAAAATTAATAAACTTTAAAATAAATAAACACTTATTTAAAAAACAAAATAAAACACTAAAAATGTTTGAAAAAAAATATTTGTAAAATATATTTGTTTAAGGGTTATTAATGCAAACTATAGCTAAATAAAAACTATAGTAGTATCTCAATTATACAAAATTAACACTTTTTAGCTGCATGTAATGTGACCGTTAACTGACTTCATAGAACTGTGAACATGCTAATTTGTTGTTAAATTATTGAAATAACTTAAAATCTCAGTGGGTACTTCAAGTAAAGACATATTTTAGGTCATAGGGATTTGGCTGACAAAACGTTTGGGAATACCTGGTCTAAAGTAATGCTTTTGCACTTGTGCTGCTGTGTCCCACATGGCCTCATCATAAGCAAAACCTGCTGGCAATCATGCACCTTCTTGTCTCTTTAAAATAAAAAATGACTGAAGGGTTTTGTCAGGTAAGAGTCTAATCTTTTCAGTCTAAGCAAAATTCGAGAGTGCAGCTGGAAGTTGTTTTTCATGGACCTCATTATAGCACAAAACAAATTAGTAGTTGATCTACGCCCAAGAACAGGTTGAAATTAAGCAGATAAAGGCAAGCTTGTGTCACAGGTTGTTTCCTATAGTGCCACTGATTTGATCTCTGAATAAAACAAAGGGAAAGATGCCTGCACACCTCTTTTTCTCTCCTGACGGTAACTCGGCCAGCAGTTATTCTGCTATCCCTGCCTGGTCAATAGCACTGATGGGCTGCCAGCTCTTTAGAGGGTGGCTTGATTAGGATATCGATCCGTGTCAGTGAGATAGGAGCCGATTATTCCCACCCTCTGCCTGTCAGTCTGTTTTTTCCAAACTGTCTAGTCTTTGAGTATCCAGCTAAAGTTTGGGTTGCAGTGGAAAAATTTAGATATTTGGCTGTTCCAAAAACTAGTGAGCTGCCAGAATGCATTGTGACAATCTCCATGAAAAAAATGAATCCAAGATGGCAGATGAAGTGAGAGTCATATACTACTGTTCAAAGTTTAGGGGTAGTAAGATATTATTTATTTATTTTATTTATTTGTATTGATTGATTGTTTGATTGACTGGTTGATTGAAAGAAGTCAATACTTTATTTCAGCAAGGCATTAATTTGATAAAATTAGTCATTAATTCTTTTACAAAAGCTTGCCAGGCATTTCAAATAAAGTCTGTTTTTCAAACTTTCTGCTCATCAAAAAATGTTATATCGCAGATTCCACAATTTATTACCATTTTCAACTGTGATAATAAGAAATGTTTCTTGAGCAGCAGTTCAGCATATTAGAATGATTTAAAGGATCATGTGAAACTGAAGACTAGAGTAATGATGCTGAAAATTTAGCTTTGCCATCACAGAAAGAAAAATATAATAAAAAAATAATAAATAGAAAACAGTTCATTTAAATTATAATAATATTTTGGAATATTGATTTTTTTTTCTCTTTATTTTCATCAAATAAATGCAGCCTTGGTGAGAATAAGATGCTTCTTTTAAAAATACAAAAACTGTTACTGCCCCCAGACTTTTGAAGGTAAATTATAATATTGTTTTACCCAATATTTTGGCTGAGGCTATTTACACTAACTCCGCCCTCCAACGTCTGATTGGAATAGTCAACACTGAAAAAAGACACTCGTCTAACATCAGTTTTAGTGGCATAAATGTAAAGGCGTCTGCTTTTTAATGCGATCGACCCGAGTCCGAACCCGCCTTTTGTCTAACTTTTTTTCTCCCTTTTCAAATCTCATATCGCACCGGAAAGGCATTTATTTTCAATAAAAATGAAGGAAATAATCAAAAAGTTGAAAATAAAGTACCGGGTACGGTTAGGGTAGGTGTAGGGAGGGTTTTATTGTCCCAATGTGGCATCTATTTTTTTATTTGAATTAGAATTATAATTTACACTCAATACATTATTATTGCGTACTGTTTTATAATGTACAACAATACTGAGGTGCAGATAATTGCTACTATTTGCAATGAGTATAAATAGCTGAAAATCTTGCTGTTTTAACATAGTATAAATAGAATCTATATATGTTTGCACTTAGTGTAAATAGCATATCGTTAAAAAATACTGCTATTTTCACTTAGTGTAAATAGAATCAATTGCTATTTGCACTTAGTGTAAATAGCATCTATCACCGCTGCCATATTTTTTTGTGTTTGTTTATATTTGTGCTTATTAGAATATTGTGTTGTTAGCTTAGCAACATATAACATCAAAAACCAATTGCAAGTCTAGTCTCACTTGCAGATCACACCCATGGTGCCTATGTAGAACATTCTAAATCGCTCACTTGTGAGATTCTATAATGGTTTGGATGCTGTCTGTGTAGGCCACAAGGCAGCTCACTTGATTTTGGAACAAAGCTATTTACTACTTTCCTAGTCTTTATCTTTTAGTTTGTCTCTATATATCTCTATTCCTGACCTCCTCCTCCCTCTTCAGGTTCAGGATGTTGTGCCAGTCCATTATAGCCCATAAGTTGTTTGACTATGTGGTGCTGGCCTTCATCTTCTCAAACTGCATCACTGTGGCTCTGGAGAGACCCAAGATCCTTCAGGGTAGCCTGGTAAGACTTGAGGCCAATGGATCTTTGATTCAGTTGTTTAATCTGCTATTAGTTATTGATGATTTCCATTTTGTCCACAAGTAGATATTCTGACAGCTTTTTTCTTTCTACTCTTTTCATAATTCTCTTTTTCCCTCATCCTTCTTTTTCTGCAGGAGAGGCTTTTCCTCACCGTGTCCAATTACATTTTCACAGCCATATTTGTGGGGGAGATGACACTCAAGGTAAATATTTACATTCACAGCATGATATTGTGCTGATTTCAGGACTCCCATGTATAGATTTTTTTTTCTTCCTGAATGCGCTGCCATACCTCTGATCTGTGTTGGTCAATCGAGAAAATTATTAAAATGGTAATTGTTTTCACCGCAGTTGCAGATACTGTGACTTTACCTTTTTATGCATGTTTTAATGGTTTGAGTACAATATAATCCATTTAGTTTACAGTGGGGTCCAAAAAACCACCAGTGAAAATTTTTATATTTTGCCTCTTTCTATTTTAATGCAATTTTTACATTACAAATAGGGGTGTCCGATATCACGATTTTCGATTTTGGACAATTAAAATGTCTCCACAATCTGCTTTTGAAGAAATATTGTAGTATCGTGCTACAGCACACATTCTATCACTTGCAGCTCTGGCGCCTCCGTCTCAATATAGTGCGCTAATACTGTAAAAACCACACATGGTTCACATATAAACACATTTGTTTATGTCTAAAGAGTAAGTAAAAAGTGAGAGAAAATAGATGCGTGCTAGTATTAAAGTGACAGCAGACTAATTGTACTAAACATGCTCCCGCTTGTCATTAAAGGGATAGTTCACCCAAAAATTTAAATCCTGTCATTATTTACTCACTCGCATGTTGTCCTAAACCTGTAGTTTTTTTTTTGTTTTGTTTTTTATGTGCTGAACACAAAGGAAGACATTTTGAAGAATGTGGGAAACCAAGCAGTTGCTGGTCCCCATTGACTTTGATAGTAGAAAAAAAATACGATGGAAATCACTGGAGCCTAGCAACTATTTATTTTTATTTTTATAAAATAAAAATAAAAACGTTTTTTTATTATTTTATATTTTGTTACCTTGTAAGGCTTTATTTTTAAAATAAGGAAATTAGTTGGGCTGTACTGCTCAGACAACTTGCAAAATAATCAATCCAACATGACAAAGAATCGTGATAAAATCATGAATCAAGATTTTCCTGAAAAACAAAAATTTTGATATATTTTGCCATATCACCCATCCCTAATTACAAATTGTATTATCAGCATAAAAATTTACATTTTATGTCTTAGTATTTGGTTCTTTCCTCTTTTGCTTTAACTATAGGTACACTTTTTTAACCTAACGATCATGTTCTCCAGCCTAATTTGAGATGTTCCAAAATACTTCTTGTTCTTCAATGGAAACTACAACAACTTACTGTCTGTCAGTCACATGATCATTGTCAATTTTGCTTATTTGATCAGTGACCTAGAAACAGTGCAAAATGGTACAGTTTTTTTTATCCCAAAACTTTCAATTCTGTGTATGAAAGGATATTACATAATACATCATTATATTATACTTTGATAGATACTGAACAAAATTACACGCACACCAATTTGCACCGATTAAAGACATTGTTAAAGACTCTGGTTGTTTGAATGGGCAATTAGCTGAATATTTTCCAATAGATGAAACAGAGTGTGCGTGTGTGTGTGTGTGTGTATCTCTAATCCATCTTCCTTTCGCTCTTTCTCACTCATTTTCACACACACATTCTCCTCTGGACCTCTTGAGAGTGGGGTATTATGTTTGCTGGCTCTCTCATGGCAAGCAATTAAGCAATGGTATTAATTAGAGCCAGTTTCCCCTTTCAGACGAAGTGAATCTCATAGACTAGCCCATCTATTCAGCTGCAAACGCTTGGCACTTGTAGGTCATCAGTTATGTAACTTAATCAATTATTGGGAAATGGAACAAACAAGAGATACCCTGTCAAAAGCAACAATACATGACATAGCAAGACCATACCAGACTGTTGTAAGCGAATTTGTATGAATATATTGTCTTTTATTTATTTTCTTTTATATTTTATTATTTTCCATCCATCCATCCATTTTCCAAACTTCTTGTCCTATGTAGAGTTGCAAGTATTTTTTATTTATTTTTATTTTTATTTTTCATACACCCATTTTCCAAACTGCTTGTTCTGTGTAGGGTCATGGATATTATCATTTTTATTTATTATTTTTAATTTTATAATAATATATATATTTTTAATTTTGTCTCATAATAATTTTACCCAAATATAATTGTATTTAGATGTCTTAGATGGCATTTCATACATTTGTCATCGTTTGAAATGTCATGCCAACCACCAACACACAGTTAATATACGATGATGCAGAGCGTATATTTTACTGTAGACATTTTTAAAAGCGTTGGTGCAGTGGGAGACACAAGTCAAACAATGATTCCAGCGTTCTCTCGAGGACCAGAAAGTCAACAATTACAGTTCATCCTTGGGGAGGCAGATTCTGCAAGCTACAGAAAAAAATATACCTACTGGTATAACATAGCCTGAGGGGCAGCGGCTGATTTTACTGTCCCCAACCCACCTACATACGACTAATAGGAGTTCTGCAAGGAGATCTGCTCTCACTCAAAAACCACCTCCTTAAATTGCTAGTGTGAGTGTCACATTACTGTACTAGCCTGGTATACATCACTGATTTATTATTGGTTTTCTTTGGCAGTATTGTAAAGAAACTGTCAGACTAATACAGCTCAAATTGATCCCAAGAAAGAGCAGATATGTGTCGCAGTATGGCATCTCATTTCTTAAAAGTGCATAATTCTCTCTGTCTATCGCTGTTTTCTTGCTCTCTTTGCTCTTCTCACTTTAGACCTTAGCCAATGCTGACGTCAGACCGTGTGTGTGCGCGTACTGTGTTTCTTTCCTGTCACTCGTCTTGTTAGTGTCACGAGAACCTGCCTGGAAGGCCTAAGGCTCAGGTCACCTTGGCGCTTCAATGGATTTTGTATTTTTGTCACTTTTTCTGCATTTTAGTTTAATATTTTGTTGCTGTTTTTCCAATGTTTTTAAAATCTCCCAAGTCATATCTCACAGCCATCAGCAGCTCCCTTAAGTACATCTGCATCTCACCGCTGATAAAATGGTGGATTTTAGATGTAAATTGTGCAGAGCTCAGTTGAGTTGTAAAATCAGCTCTATAGGAAGCACTATTTTAGGGCTTCACTTAGAACTCTTGGCTTGGCTTGCTTGGAGATCACAAACTCATTTCATTTCAGTAAATGTTTACACTAGTAGAAATCAGAATGAAATTCAGCATCAGATTAAAGCACCAGAACACCAGTGTTACATAAAACCGAACAAAGTCCATACAGTATTACACCAGAACAACAAAGATCTACATTACACAACTACTTGAACTTTTTATGCTGTCCATTTGAGACATTGTTTCTTTGTTTATTGTAGGTGGTGTCTATGGGTTTGTATATTGGAGAGCAGGCGTACTTGCGCAGCAGTTGGAACGTTTTGGATGGTTTCCTGGTGTTTGTGTCTTTGATTGACATTGTTGTGTCAATGGCGGGCGGGGCTAAGATACTGGGTGTGCTCAGGGTTCTTAGGCTTCTGCGCACACTGCGCCCCCTCAGGTACAGCCAAAAAAAATTGCAAGCATTCGTGTGGCATTGCCCAACATATGCTCGGTTTATAACTTTGTAGATGCTAAATGGTAAATGTTTTTTTCCCTTCTGACAGGGTTATCAGTCGAGCTCCTGGCCTCAAACTGGTTGTGGAGACTTTGATCACCTCTCTAAAGCCTATAGGAAACATTGTTCTCATCTGCTGTGCCTTTTTCATCATCTTTGGCATCCTGGGAGTCCAGGTAAAACATTTTGTCCATTCAAACTGAGAAGACATGTGCTACCTCTGATGTTTCAGAAGAGGATTTTGAATGCAGCTTTTTAAAAGAAATCTTTGAAAATTGAGTTATTATGATTATTGGCAAAATGTACAAATACTAAAACCATGTGGCACTGAAGACGGGACTAATGACTGCTCAATGTGATGGCAAAGCTGAATCACATTGAAAAATCAAAAATACAGACAGAACAGTAATGTGAAATATTATTTCAATAAAAAAAAAATGTTTTCGATTTTATTATATTTTAAAATGTTATTTATTCCAAAATATAATAAAATCGAAAACGTTTTTTTTTTAATTGAAATAATATTTCACATTACTGTTCTGACTGTATTTTTGATTTTTGATCCAATAATTGCATCCTTGGTAATACAAATAAAAAATATTTGAATGGTAGTGTTTATATCTTAGTGTTTCTATTTTTTTTCTGAACAAAAGCTTTCTTTTGCCTTACCTTACCTTAGGTGTTTTGAAAGATGTTTTTTCTGCCACTGGTGCCCCCTAAAAAAATAAAAATAAAAAAAATAGATCAGTGATGCCCCTGATGCCTTTTGTCTCTTTTTTTTCTCTCCAGATTTTCTGCTTAATCTCACTATCATACCCGTTCTCTCTTTATCACCACTGCTTTCACATTTAGTTTCTTTTCATTTTGTGTTCATTATTAGTTCTTATTCCATTTTAGTGCCACAACTTGTTCTTTTTTTCATAGAGAACGTTTTCTTATTCTGTCCTGATCTTCTTTCATAACACTCTTTTTCTTTCAAATATCCTCTGCTCTGACAGTTTTATTAAAGAGATGCTTGAGTAGTGTGGCGTTGAGTGACATGAAGTGTGTGCTATTTCTTTTGCCTCAACAGCTTTTCAAAGGCAAGTTCTACTACTGCTTGGGCCTGGATGTCAAAAACATCACCAACAAGTCTGACTGCCTCTTGGCCAATTATAAGTGGGTCCATCACAAGTACAACTTTGACAACTTGGGGCAGGTTAGTTTGTTCTCTGACTGGGCTTATCAAATTGCATGACAGATTCACAAAATTCCTAATATTGAGCAACTCAATTTGTTGCTTTGTTTAATGTACCTTTATCTGTGTGCATCTACAACAGAATTACCTCTCATGGTTCATTACATCACACATGGTTGTCTATCTGTCCCTGCACCTTTTTTCTCTGTACAACCCCCATCTGTCTTTGTTTGTCCCGCTTCTCTTTCCACCCATCTCCATACTTCTGCGTGTTTTTGTATGTGCTCGTATGAATGTGTGTTTATGTTTTACAGGCCCTGATGTCCCTGTTTGTGCTGGCATCGAAGGACGGCTGGGTCAACATTATGTATCATGGTCTGGACGCAGTGGCAGTGGACCAGCAGGTAATGCTCTTCATGTAACATGCTTGCTGCCATAGGCGTATTAACCATATGGGCAATTGGGCAAATAAATGTTCTGCGGTAAAACAAGCGATGTATTCTCAAACGTCTATCTAGCTGTGGCCTATACATAGGCTACCCTTTCATCAGAACATACTAAGTTCTCTTAAAGTTTTATAAAAGGCATATTTTTTCTTTTTTTCTCATGCATGAAACAGAGGATTCTCGATCTATCGCCAGATTCACATATAGGCTATCCTACTGCGTGAACCCGTGCGCTTTCGTTTCGACGGCCATATATTACTCAAACAGATTCTAGCAGCATGCTGTCGCGCAACTCCCGTCTCTTCAACTGAAATGCCTCGCTCATGGATGTGTGAATCCACTACGGAGCGTCAGCCTTGCACTTTCACGTTGTACTTTGCAGCCATTGGCAATCAAGAAAAGGGCAAAGTGTAAACAAGTGCGTTTGTAAGTTTTATTTTCAGTTCAAATCCTCACAAAACTATACAGTATGTAGCTATATACAGTGCTTAACAAATTTATTAGACCGCCCGTCAAAAACTTGTTTAAAACTAAAAATCCTTGGGCAAATAACAAACTAAAACAACTAAATAGTCTTTATTCACACATAATAACCAAAAACTAATAAACCAAAAAATATAAATAAGCTATTTTATTTTTATTTTGTATGGCCTCCTTTGGCCTTGATAAAAGCTTGCATTCTTGCTGGCATAATTTTTATGCACTTTTCCACAGTCTCCGTTGTTACTGACTTCCAAATAGTTTCTAGTTGTTCCCAAAGACTTTCTTTTAAATTAAACTTTTGTGCAATCTATCTTAGAATCATGCAATCCCAACAATAATTATATTTTAGCATTAGAAACACTACTGTGACTAAAGATCTTACACATACTGGTGGATTAACCATTACAGAAAAATAACAATGGTAATTTTGGTAATCACCAATACTTAGTTTAGGGTAGCTGTGGCACAAACCTATTGGGTGGTGGCCTAATAAATTTGTTAAGCACTGTATATGTAATTGCAAACAAGGCCATGCACTCATTGTTGCATTTCTGAAAACACCCTTTTTACACAAGGGAGTAAAACATTAGAAAATGTTTTTGTAAATTAAATATAAATGAATGAAAAATGAGCTGAGGACAACAATGACTCTAAAAAGATTATCCACTCTTTCTTTTTTTCCATAGAGTCTGAAGTGATTAACAGATTGGATTATTATTATACCTGTAACAGTTGGCTTCACTAGTTATAAAAAGTTTCAATTTGCTGCATACAGTTCAGATTTATATCACATCTTAGAATAGATTACACCTGTAAGAGGTGGGTTCACAAGTTATAAATAATTTATATCATAATATATTATATAAATTATATAATAATATAATAATTATATAATAATTTCAGAGTTCACTGTAAAAAGTGGTAACCTGAATTTGTAAGGCTTTTTGTAGCCTTAAAATAAAATTTTGCAAAAAAAAATGTTTTATCTAAATGACCACATGAAGCACATTTCATTCATTCATTTTTTTCTCTCTCTTTATATATATAAATACATTTACATTTACATTTAGTCATTTTGCAGACGCTTTTATCCAAAGCGACTTACAATTGGGGGATACATAAAGCGATTTTTCTTAAAGAGGCAAACAGATACAGGAAGTGCTTGTAATACCAAGTTTTTAGACAGTGTTCAAATAAGTACAAGCTAGAAAGAGAAGGAATAAATAAAGAGATAGGATTTTTTTTATGATGAAGTCAAGTAGCTTCGAAAGAGATGAGTTTTCAGCTGTCGCTTGAAAATTGTGAGGGATTCAGCATTCTGGATAGGGGTGGGATATATATATATATATCATGCATGAAACGATGAATGAACAAAATGGTTATGTTATATATATATATATATATATATATATATATATATATACAGTGGGGAAAAAAAGTATTTAGTCAGCCACCAATTGTGCAA